CAGCAGTGGATTAGACATGCTGTTCATGGTGCTGCACTTGCTTATTTTTCCCTCCTCTTGGGAGCAGAGGAGAAAATGTGCTTTGGGAATAAAAAAAACCCTTTCTTTCAACCTGCAGGGCCAGGAGAACCTTTTCAGGATTTATTTTCATAGTCCAAAGGATCATATCCACAACATTCAACATTTAATAATATAGTACTACACACCTACTGCAGTCTGTGGCTGAAGCAGCCATTAGTGCAGCAGGGAGCTTAGCACCATGACTGGTCAGGCAAGGCTCTTCCCAGAAGTCCCAGGTAGCTTTGATCTGAGAAAATGATAAACCATAACAGGGGACTGAAAACAAGCTATGCAGAGCTGCTGGTCTTCAGAGCATTAACTCCTTTCTTTCTGGCTTATTTTCTTCAGTCACTCTCTGATGGCTTTTTAAAAGGACTGTTGCTTAGTCCCTTCTCAGGCTGCAACTAGGATTTTTTAGGCTTGCTATAAAAGAATAATTCTGCATTAGTAGTAATTTGACCTTTAAAGTTTGACCACTCAAGAAATGAAGGTGTGCTACAATTCCTGTGGATATTCTAATATACCTACTGACTAGAGAAGCTCCAGATTTCAAAGAAATCTCACTAGGATAGGAAGAAATAAAACAGCTTTATAATAAGGAAGAGTAATTTAACAAGTGACCTTTTCCAGTGCTCCTTTAAAAGCTGTCACCCATTTTTAAAAAAGGCAAGATACTTGTACAGCAGTTCCTCAGAAACAGAACTAGATTTGGGGGGAAAAATGTGCTACAGTGCTACCATCCTTAAGGAAGGTTTAATTTACCTTCAGTTTGAAATTTTAAACTTAAAATAGTACTAAATGACTCCATTAGAAATACAATCACAGGTCTTCTTACATAGACACATTTTACATGTGAGACAACAAGCATTCTTCATTTAAGTTATGGCCATGAAAAAAGTAATGCTATGCTTGCTTTGACTAGTCAGCTCAACAAAGATGAAGGAGGACTAAAAACAAGTGCCACAAATTAACAGCATTTTCATTGAAGTACTTCAGTCTCTGATACTTGGAATGTACATGAAGCAGACAAAATACACAGTGCATGTGAATGTTGAAAAAATGCAAGTTTCAGAACAGTCACAATCAGTAATTCACCCTCCAACTACCAAAAGTTTACCATTTCACTATAAAACTCATCAGAAATTGGTGCCACCATTTATGAAACATCCTACTGTGCTGGTGACTGACTGATAATTATTTTCAAAATCAGAATGACACAACAAAAACGTAGAGTAGGAAACGAGTCTGTTCTGAAAATTTTGGTGCTACCTACATCTGTTTTGATAAACCAAACTGTGTGTGGCAGTTCTGTCAGACTCTAGAATTGGTCAGTTCTGCAGTTAAACCATTAAAATAGCTCTTAGCACATTTTTGGCGGATGCCAACTAGCACTTGCCAAAGCAATCGAGAGGAGTTTCAAAGCTGGCACACACTAGAAAACCTTTCCTGCCTGCACACAGCCATTCTGCATGGACCTTAAGGCAGCTACAAACGATGGATGCAGGGCTGTAGGGCCATGATGCCAAAGAAAAATCATGCACACGTTATTTATTAGAATAAACATTTGTTAAATAGGTATTGTCTCTCACTGAAAGTATCACAGATCTACCACATTTTTTTTCTGTAAGTTATTTCAGAGCCGGTGATTCTTTGCTGGATATGGGGATATATTTGGCATGTCTTGCTCATATATGATAACATGAAAAAAGTTTTTCATATTCAATTTTGAATAAAATGAAAAGGAATCATGCACCCAGCCTCAACATCTTACAACAGTTCTTCCAATTTCAACACAATCAACAGGCACATTTATAGGAGCATTCAGAAAAAGAAAAACCCACCCACAGTGCAAACAAATGCAAAGTCTTTTTGTGAAATTATAAAAGCTATAAATGAAAGGTTGGGTGCAACAGTTGAAATTTCATTTCGGTTAAACGGTGTCTCTTAAAGCTGCCTTAAGGCAGAGGACTGTGAAGTGTCTAAAGCAATATCTATTTTTAGGGAAGGCACACAAGAGCCAGAGAACTGCAAACCACTAAACATGCATCTCTGCTCTGTGCAAACTGTCAGGAAAACTAACAAAGGGCATGCATGCCTGTCCTAATGTAAGCTGTAAAGGACATCGTATCACAAACCTTCTGTCCTTTCCAAAAGTGAACCTGCTTTTAGATGAACACTGAGGTCCATAAAAAATCACCGGGATTTCTGAGAAGGCTTTCAACAAGGTCTCTCATCAAATGCTTTTATGGAGCATAAGAAGCCATGACAAATGAGAGGAATTATTCTGGTAAAGACAGAGACCAGCTGCAAGGATTAGCAGAATTTAATCAAGTATCACATGAGTTCTTGCAAAAAGGCAGATGAAATGTGAAGAAATTAAAAGAGAAAAAAAACCATAACTCCTAAAGTCATATAGGCTTTAAGCTGATCTTTACTACTCAAGACATTACCTTGAGGTGATTATCCATGACAACATGGATCCATGAAAACATCATTTCAGAGCTCAGTAGAGGTTAAAAAAAACCCCAATCAAATGTTGGGATATATTATGAAAAGAAGAGAGGGACAATGTATAGTCCAAGGATCTCCCTGAATGCTATTTGTAATTCTGTCTCCCCAGCAAAAAGGGCACAGAAATGAAAGAAAAAAATGCAGAAAAGCACAATGAAAAAATCAAAACTCAGAGAACCTCTATTTTAGGAACAATTAAGCAGTCATGAACTGCAGAGAACAGGTCAGGACAGAAGTTTATGAAAATCACAGCTTGCTGGAGAATACTAATAGAGAGTAATTGTTCAATATTTCTTCCAACAAGAAAAAATGTAGGAAGAGCTTACAAACTATTATAGGGCAGTAAACAAACAGAAAACTGTTCACAAAGCACGTAGTTCAGCTGTGGATCTCTGTGTACAGGATGTTGCTGACAGCAAAAGTTTCTAAGAACAAAAGCAACAAGACAAATTCACGGTAGGTCCACCTAGAACAGCTTGGGAGGGGGGGTGGGGGTAAGGTTCAACTGGAAGCTGCTGGGAAAGTACACCAAGAAAACCTTGCTTTGATGCAGGACATTACCCAAGGTCATGTTTCTCCTGGCTGGATCCCTTCAGAGAGCAGAGGCTGGGCTAGATGGACACATACAATGCTTGTATTATATTACCCAAAGGCATGAGCTATGGTGAGCTCATCAAATTCTCTTTTTCACTCCCTGCATTGTCTCCCCATAGAACAGCAAATCAAGTCCAGCATTCTGAACAACTGAAAACCTGAATCCAAGATATTTAAAGTACTAATTATAATTTTTTTCATTAAAATCAATTATTCTAGTTTGGTGACCTGATAAACTGAGTAAGAGAAGAAAAATTTTTCAGACTGCAGAATTATTTTTCAGAGAAACAAAAGGCAGCCAAAAACCTATGCTTCCTTTCACTTCACAAGCAATTTGGTTTTCCTTGCCTTCCTCTTCTTGAATGTAAAAAGACAGGTAAAGTTAGATTCAAACCCCTGAAAGACAGCAAATTTTATGTAAATTTCTCTGGCAAATAACAGGAAGGAGAAATGAAATATAAATCATACTAATCTACTGTGCCACAGGAATAGCTTCTCAATTAAATTTTTTGAAGCATTGCCACTCTACACAGATATATGAAGTAGCACTAGCTATGGTAAAAGCATTTTACTCTGCTCAGATTATAAACTAAGCTATTATCAATTCCATATAGCTCTATTTTATGCTTATGTGATTTCATACCTGTGGAAGTTAAGAGGTATGAAACTGAACAGAGGCTGCACATCTGAACTACCTTCTGTAATTGCTATGACATTGATATCTTTCTCTAGACAACAAAATAAAAGAACAAAACCCAGCATCTTCCCTTTATCAACTCTGCATTACTGTTTCTTCAGTGTCAGGCTATAATACAATAGTGTACTAATGGATATGCTTTCCAATTATGTCAGATAAATAATAAATCCTGGTGGCCTGTTTAGAAGAATAATGCCTTAAATATGCAACCTTTTGTTCTGAAAATGGATTGCCTGCAAATCGTTTAGACATTGATTATACTGCTGTTGTGCTTAAGGAATGGCGCTCCCCAGCTCAGTGCTCCCACTGAAACACTCCAAACCCCACACTGCTCACTCACTCCCCATCACCCCTTCCCCTGTGGAGGGCTGGACAGGAGAACTGGAGACAAAAAAGGTAAAGATCATGGGTTGAAATAAAAACAATTTATGGGAAAGAGCAATGAGAAAGAACAATAAACAGTAACAGTGTCAATATCAGTGTACGTGGGAGGTGAAGGATTCACACACCAGGTGTAAACTCCCAACCACAGCTGACCATGCTGCCATACTATGGGACCTGGAAGGGACTCCTTCCCCCATCCCTGGAAAATGGGGAGAGGTGCTAGAGAATAAAAAGTCCTTTGAGTCCTGGCCACGCCCTTCTGGCTACTGCAAAAATTGACTCTGTCTTGGCTGGAACCACGACAACTTGCAACAAATTAAATAAATTATATACTCTGCAGTAATATGACATAAACATTCTTCTAAGGCAAGTCAACAGGCTTAAAAATTATTAATTTCTATTCATATGGATATCAACTGATATTTATTTGCATTGATAAAGATCAATTACTTATGTTGACTTAAAGAGAAATCCTAGCCATTTTGCCTTCTTCTATTCAGCAGCACTGGTATAAGTTCTAAAAGTTCTGTAAGTTCTAAAGGTTACCTCCTTGACCAACACAGTATTATTCTGCTTTACAAAGAAAGCACTAATTCCCAGAAAACACAAAGCATGATAATCCCAGTGTAACAAAAAGCATTTCTAGAAGTATTATTTTATATTACTATATACATTAATATAACTCAAATCAGAAGAAAGAATTTATTAAAAATCATGAGCAAGCACTAAAACTTAGAAAAAATAAAATACCTACTTGCGAGTGATGGTCCTCCAAAGCTGCGCACCTGCAATTGTAAGAATATAAGATGAAACAAAATGCACTAAATCAGAAATAATTTTATTATTTATTCATAGAACATATTCAGAATTAGGACAAAATGACTAAGGAATTCTCTGTATCAGTCAAACAGGAAAGCTATATCATCTTACAGTAACAGTTCTTGAATTGCTTTCTGTAAACTTAACATACAGTTAAAATCATTAATGGAAAAAGTCAGGATGCTCTATGACTACATTTCCACATGGAAGGATGTAATGAAGATGATAACATAACTTTAACATGAACATACCCTCTACTTCTCTACACTGACACCCACTCTACATTCCCCATGAATCTGTAATAGTCTTGCCATCTAGTGGCTGGCTGGAAGTGTGAAGCAGTTACACGGATGTGATATACTGGGAAGAATTTTTTCTGCTTCTTGGAGTGGCATTTCATTGATTTCTATTCATTACCACCAGATTCCTACAGTATTACTTCGAGGGCCTGATTTTTCTTGAACTCTGTCTACAACGGCATCAAAGACAATAGTAAAACAAATTAGTTTGCTACAGTAAATAATTATTGTATAAGCTAGGAAACAGAGGTCTTCCTAGCCTCGGCTCTGAAATGAATGGTTAAATAATCGCATAAACATGAGATTGGTACATCCTGAATTTGGTCACTACAAAAATATTATTTACAGGTACGAGTGAATTTACCTAAATCATTGGCCTCCAGCTAGCAAGGTATTCTGTTTGTGATGATTTATATAGCACAGAGCTTAAAAAATCAAATTCTGCTTAGCTTTAAAAGTTGCCCTCTGGGTTTGCAACACTCAAGCAGGAAACAGAATGGTAACCAAGACTCCCAGAAAAGGGAATGATGGTAAATCCTTCAGAAAAGGTAGCAAATACCTGTTGTAACTAAGCAGGGAACAACTGGCTCAGAAATAATGTGTTAGTACATCACAGAGGAATACCACACTTCTTTGACATCTATTTCCTGCTTTTGTAGTATGTTCAGATGTTTTTTCAAACACTTTGCATGTGATTTAACAATAAATAAAAGGCAAAATAAGAATCTTGAAATAACAATATTCATGGCAAAGAAAACAGAAAACTTCTAATGAGCACTTTGTCAAAGAATTTTTAAGATGGTAATAAAGTATAGGACAGGAATTGAAAAAAAAATTTCCAAACCATCAGACCAGCCAACAAACTCAAAATCCCTTTCAAAATTGCTTGTATTCACATAAGACTTTATACACTCTGGAAAATAAATGCTATACAAAGTAAAAAGAAAATAGTGTTCACCTCTTATTTCAATTGTGCTAAGATAGGTAATTTCTCTATCTATTTAAAAATTTCACTGATATATATTGGATGTCCCAAACTTTCCAAAACTTACATGATTAATGTTGGAAGAAGTATGCATGTCTAGGAAAACGCTGTGTTTTAGAAAAGAATGCATTTTCAGACCTAGCAGTTAAGAAACAAGAATGACTGTCCACTCCTAACAATTACACTCATCTAAGTGCTAAAACAAATCTCCTAAAGCCCTCCCTATAAAAGATAGCAAAAGTTAATTGAAAGTGGCAATAGATCATCGCAGATCTACTATCACTCTCTAATATTAGCTGATACTTTTACAATAATCATAATATTGACCTGGCTTTAGTAATGAATAGCATGCTCCAAAGTGCAGGTGTTTAAGCACAGAACTCTATCAGTACACTTACCTTTTATCTTTGAGAATACCAAATCCTTCATTATCTGAAGAATTAACACTCCAAGTATTATAAGGGAAGTCAGATGATACACTCTCCAAGGGGTCAATGCAACAAACCTAGAATATCAAGAAGAAATAAATGTTGAACTTCAAAACTAATTGGAAGCATGCAAAAACTAACAGCTGCTATTAATACTGAAAAAAATAGGAAGAAATAGACTCAGATTGCAATAATTAACTTCAGTTTCTCCCCACAGCCCTTCCATGAGAAGCAAATATTGAGAGCTCCAAGCATTGCATTTAAAAATACAAAGATTAAACACTGAGTTTGTAGTAGATTTTTGTCCATACTTTTATTTACGCACAGAGAAAATAAAGAAAACAAAATATTTTAATTATTGCATAGAAAGTACTACTTTTAAATTAATGGTGGTTTCATTAAAACTAATTGTCTTGGCACAATGCACAAAAAAATGTTAATAATTTTCTTTCACTTCCTACAGAACCTATGTTTAAGCAAGATTTTTATACAAATCATTCTTTCAAACACAAAGATGAGGTAAATCTATATAACTGCATAACACTAAAACTTCATAACAAGATTTCATGAATTATGTTTTTAATTACATAATTTTTTAGAACATGTCTAGTCAAGTCAAACAGACCTAGACTCAGAAAGCATGAATTACAATCTCATGCATTGCTGACTTTGCTATCCAGGTGTGTTTGGAGATAAGCTCTTCTGTTTTACTGGCAAATATCTTAACTCACAAAAAAGAGTGTGAAGAAAAAAGAATTAAAATTCAACTAAATAAATTTAAAAACCGAAAATATTTTAATAGCTAGTTTTGAGCACTTTAAATCAGTGATCTGAACAGAAAGAGTGAACAAGTTAAGTTTTCAAAGTAAAAGCAATGAACTTTAAAAAGCTGAGGTTAGCCAAAACCAGTAAGAAGTCACTGTCCAAGGCACTGGATCAAACAAGAATACCAACAGAAACAAAATCATACAATGCTGGGATGTTTTCAAGAAACCTCTCAGATTTGAAAACAGGGCAGCTGACTGCCCAGCTTCTACCCAGTTTCTGCTGCAGAGCTTTTCGGCAAGAAAGAGGGGGAAGGGGAGTGAAAATGGTAGCAAACATAGCCACTGTAGGAAGCCAAGAGGTACCCTTTGAGCACTCTTAGATTTTTTAGAAAGAAAACTGACTTCACAATGTTTCTAACAAGCTCAGGACACACTGCTGTAGCAGCAAACTGTTCCAGTATTCCTTGAAAACCTCAAAAAGAAAATCTTCATTAAAAAAAAGTCCATGCCACTAATTTTCACATTTAACACAAACTCATAACACCAATCACCCTGAGCAGACCAGTATATGAATTCCAATACAAATGCATAAGCTCACTCTGAAAGGTTTTATCCAAATATAAATGGTTTTTATATCTGTAGAGAATTTGAATTATAAGATTATTCTATAAAATAAATGTATAAAATGAGCACCTTTGTATAATTCAGCTAGCTCAAGAAAATCAACAGAGAAGTGTAGAGAAAAATTATTACAGGGCAACCTTTATCAAAACTGCCCAATCATAGTTCAATAAATCAAAACTTGTAACAGCTTTGCATCATTGTCCTACTATTGTCCTACTATTTTTCTTGGTAACATTATTCAGCATTAAAAATCTTTGATTGTGTTTAAATGTTAAGTTCCACTGCATGGAAGAATTTGTTTACCCTACTTACTTAATTTACTGATAACAGGCTGGGGGAGAGATGTGATGCTCTATAAAAAAAATCAAATGAAGAATTTTTCATCCATCTTCTAGGCAACAGAAGTTTGTAACAAATGCAGACCTTCAAACTGTTTGGGCTTAATACCATGTCTATTTTACAGGGTCTTCATGGTGCTTGTGCATGAATGTTTATAGAATCACACAGAATGCCCTGACTTAGCAATTACCACTGGCCACTCTGATGGTCTCAAATACATGCATCAATAACAAAATGTATATAAAAGTGTGCACATCTGTGTACATACACACATCTTACTAGCTTCTCAAGGTAAGATCAGATGCTTACTAAGAAGGCTTAGTGTGTCTTTCAAAAAATGCACAGAACATGTTTGACCTACTTTATGCTCCCAACTAAACCACACTGTTAGTTTCACTGCAATCACAGCTGTCACCTGCTGTTAAAAACAATTGCACTAATGAGGACTAGGATTAGCAAACAAGGATTAACAAGGTAGCATCCTCCCTGAAAGATGCTTCCAAGTCATGTCATTCCACCTTCTCAATACTGCAGTGTTCCTGCTCCAATGTTTGAGGAAAAAACCTGAAATCCAGTTGAAGCAGCTAATGTAGTCACCAAACAAGGACTCAGCTTCTTTGGAGAGCTTTGAATTGTTCTGACTGAACTTCCCACATCTTAACATTATTAGCTCTTTATCTCGACTGAGATATTTGCAAGAAAGACCACCCCTTGTGAATTCACTCAGCAAGCTTGTGTCAGCCCTCAGGTGCCAGAACCACACAGATTAGAAAAACTATTTGTGAGCCATATGTCAGAGATCTATGTCCTTGAAGCCCTTCCTAGTGGAAAGCTGATAAGGTCCCCTTACACTCTTTTGGCAAATATCTATCAAACATCAGCTTATCAAACAGTTACTTCAAAATGCAGGGAGCTGAAAACCACTTATTATGCTACTACCACTGTCAGGATTCAGAATTCTTCTAGGAATTATGGACATGATACATAGCAACCAGACTAACAGTTTCTGTGGTACTTCTGCTTATTAATAAAAGTTAGGGCATTTTGGCCCCTCCTTTTTTTAAAAAAAAACAAAAGAGATTGTACTCCTAAGCATTTCTAAGACACACATATCTGACAAAAATGAAAGGCTCCAGAATGAAATCCTCATATACTGCACTCCTTCTGTATTGTAGAAGAATGCTGTGTAAGAAAAGCTTACTGAACATGTTCTCTTTTTTAAGCAATAAACAAAACAGACTAAAGTTCAAATTGTTTAATTTCTTCTACAAGCGGTGCAGAAGTAAAAACCATTACTGGAGACGCAACCAAGATTTATTCCCTCCTTGAATTCTGCAGTGTTTTGGAATGTTTTTTGAGGGGAACAGAGCGGTTAAGAAACAATGTACAGAATAATGCACTCCAGATAACTACTTCAGCAGTTGATAGGACAGCTTGCACAAGGGGACAAGAAATTCTGCTGTAGGCAGTGCAGGACTACAACAAAACCCAGTCATGAGGTGCCCAGGACTCAGTCCCTGTCAGTGGCTGGAACAGGCACTCCCTGCACAGGAAAGGCCCTCACGCAGACACAGCCCCAGGGGTGGGATACGGCCACCGGGCTTGGAGGCTGCAAGAAGGAACAGTGGCCTCACTGTGATGGATGTCCTCTGGTGCAGAGCACTCAAGTGAAAGAGCTAATGGAGGTGCTAAGCAGGTGTCAGATCACTGCAGAGTAGAACTTTCAAAAGCTCAGCTGTGTGAGAACCTGAGCAATGTGCTCCAAGTGAAGCTCATTTGAGCAAGCCAGACTAGCTGACCTCCGACTCTCCTTCCATCCTACATCCTTCCATGCGGGAAAAATGCAAGTGTGATGGAGCCAGCCTGCCACTCAACTCCACTGTGCAAGATTGAGAAGCCATTTTTGTAAAATGAAATATAAGCAGTATCAATGGATAATTAAGCAGTGGTTGTCCACAAAGGTTGTGGAATTTCCAACCTTGATGGCTGTGAAGACAAAACCCTGAGCAATCTGATCTGAATTAAGTACTGATCTTATTTTGAGCTGCAAGCCATACTAGAGACCTCACGAAGCCACAACCAGCCTGAATGGTATTTTCATTCTGTGACTATTGTAGGCTATTAGAGGTGGTTGGCAAATATTTTTTGGTAAGATGCTGGCCTTAGAACTTAAAGCCACAACAGTTTCTGTTTCTGGGCCTGGTTAAACTGCAGCTGTTCTGAAATGATTCCAAACTGCACAAGTAAGAATCAAAACTTGACAACTTCCACAATTAAAAGTGGAAATTATTCAACTGCATGATGGTGAACCTAAAGATAGAAAAGTAGGCTAAGTACCTTCTTCTTGTCTTTTCTTCAGTTCTTTAAAGTATGGATGGCCATTTGTCAATACTGTCAATTTGTTGTATCAAAAAGCAGGTATCTCACAGTACACCAGAATTGTCCCAGAGCACCTGGGACAATGACCTGCACAAACTGGATTGTACAAAGTTACTCAAGTGTCATGAGCCAGCTAAGAAATTTTGACGGTTAACAATATCACACAATATTGCAGTCAGTAAATGTAATAAAACTTATGGGGCATGACAAAAGCTATTTTAATTGTATCATGAGATACAGGGAAGGTGCAGACCTACCAAATTGTTTCAAATGTTACATAAATCAATTTGATTCTTTCATTTCACCTGTTAAGGTTCTGGGTTTTTTACAACACATTCTGCAGCTATGAATGAGTTGCATTTTGCAAACACAACACATAAGAAAACATTTAATCAAAAATTAAATAATTTAGACTATCAGCAGCCAATGCTAGTTTTTTCTGGAAAGCCTTAGCAGGTACATTTTTAATAGCCATCTATCCCTAGATGAAATCCGGAGATAGTCACATAAATAAATGAAAGCTGCCAATAACACAGATGTGAGCATGGACCTTTGCTTCACCATCAGCTTTTATCACACATTTATCAACTGCATGAGTGACTTGTAGACTTCAGTTCTGTGTTCCACAAACTCATACTTATATCTTAAAACCAGAGGCCAAACACTTCAGAGCAATTCCACGGAGTTTTAAAGAGCACAAGTTGGTATATAACTGTTTCCTCATAAAATGTTTAGGTGAAAATCTACTGACACCTTTTAGCCAGAGCTTTCCATAGAACTGGTCTTCTTCCAATCAGGCACTAATAATCAAGCATGGGCTATGAGATAAACCACACAGAGAATGTCCCTCCCCTGTGGAGAGGAAATATTTCTAGTGTAATTTGAGAACACTGAACTGCTAATTTCAAAGCTAGGTGTACTTTGCTCTTACAGGGGACCACCTAGCGCTGTTTCACATAAACACCTAT